CCGCGTGTCCTACACGCGTAGAATGAGAAAGAAGTAGACAGTATCCTATGAAAAAAAAAGAAAACAATCAGTGGTAAGAAGTGTATCCTTAGAACAACATAGTCAATTTACCCTAATATCTTTGTACAATGTCTGATAGCAACCTTTTTTTTTTTTCTAAAGAAGAAGATCTGCCACTGCCAATATTTAATGTTTTTCAATATCTAAATACCTGGAAAAAAAAGAAAATTAAATTTTTTTTTTCGATCAAACCTATTTAAGTCAGTTGCTTATGTTGAGACTTGAATAGTGAAAATGGAATTCATTTACAGTGAAATGTATCGCTAGCATAGGTATTTGTCCCAAGTTAACTTGAATTAATATAGTTGTCTGCGAAGAAACAGTTAAATGCGTCCTTAAACTTAGAAAGTGTACGCCATTGAACAAACTTTGACGTATATACCCGAAAATATCTTTTCCTCAATTATGAATGCGCTGTTTTGTGCTAAAAACGTTGTTGAATTTCTAGAAGAATGTGAAAAAGTGAAGAAGTCTTTTAATTAATACACAGTAGAAATTTTACCGAATGTGTTCCTATTTTGAAGAAGATCTCTTTATGTAGGACACGTGCAAATGTGTACTACACCAATTATGTACTATGACCATGGGAACGTTTTTTTTTCGTGTAGAGAATCTAAACAATTATTTCAAGGTACGCAGCAAAAGAAGTCTGATGTGACTCCACGATGCGGTTTTTTAAATAGACTATTCTTTTCTATTAGTTGTTTCTCAAGGTTTTTCTAACTCGGAACTGATACCTTGCTATAATGACGAAAGAAAAATATTGCCTGCATTGAACTTAAATATTATTTTGAACATATATGTTATAAAAAGAAAATCAATAAGTTGTAGAAATTGTTTTAAATTGATTTTCAGAGTAGGGTCCTGTATGGATATGATTTTTCGTAACCCGACGCGGATCAGAGCTGATCGAGATCCGACAAATAGTTTCACAGTCACAGTATGGTTTTCAACATTTTATTTTACATGAAAAAAGTATACTATTTAGTTTCTTCCGTAAACAGCAACAAAAAAAGAGAGATCTTGTCAAATTCCACAAAAAAAAACAAGTGATTCAGGATTCACCGGGCATCTTTCTGCTTTAACATCATAGTTGTGGATACATACATGAGTGATTTTTTCCATGACGATAATATATGTTTAACTTTTTGATAATTTCTTTTCCTTTCAATGTATTCCATTACTTCGTCATATAGTTCATGGAATATAATAAATTGCTCAATCATGATCGAATCGATGTTCATTCTTATGCTTTTATATAAATTAGCAGTTTGAAGAAGTAAACACATTTTGAAACATCAAGATTCCATTGATTGCTATGTCAAATCTGAGTTTGAAATTATATCCAGGATTCAAACTGACATTTTTTTTTAATGTCCGGCACCCGAAACGATCAGGCGAGTGGACATCCAGACTCATGCCTTGGACCGAGCTTGGTACTCGATCTGGTTTAAGGACACTGTTTCAGAGGAAGATGTTCTAATGTGTTGAGGGCTTTACTTGAAGGTATATTAATATATGTTTAAATAGAAATTTTCTTTTTCTTTTTTAAGAATCGTCCACCTCGAATGTTGCCATATCCTCATCATTTTGTAACACCAAATAATATTGATATTGATCTTCGATTACATAATAATGACCTTCAAACGAAACTAACATCGGTTGTTAGCACACTTCTTAATGAAAATACACCAAAAAATTGGTTTAATGCAACAAAACGACGATTAATTAATCAATATAAACGTAAAAAAAAAAGTTTTCTTTTTAATTATGAATCCGTTTTTCTTTTCTTTTCTTAATCTCAGATAAACAAATTGAATTAGATTTATCGAAAGAAGAGATAGCTAAACGAGTTCAAACACAATTAAATATTGAGTATGCTGAACGAGCATTTGAAACTATTGAAAATTCTAATGAAATTGAAAAATTATCACCTGGTCTTGGACGTTTATTAGTTTCACATGCTCGTTCTATATTAACAATGAAATCAGTTGTTCAAAAATTAACTGATGATTTAGACAAACATCTTAAAACGGTATTTATTATTTCTCTACTTATTATTTTAAATATTAATCGATTTATTTAAAAAAAAAAAACATTAGATAAGAGAAAAATTAATTCGTGAACATCCAATAAAGTCTAAAATTCATCGTTGGATTGAAAGAAAATTATTTGAAGAAAGAATAAATTATATTCATCAACATGAATGGGATGCACATCAATTATCAATTGATCAATGTAAAACATTAGGAAATCAACAAGCTGCATATTTTATTCAACGAGATTTTACATTTCGAAAAGATGTAATTAAAAAAAAAGAAAGAATATTTTCTATATTATCATATATTAATTATTTTATTTCGTTTATTATCTTTTTTTTTTTGTTCTAGCATGAATCAATTCTTCGTCTTAATCTTAAATCACCTGTTGAACCTCTAAAAACAATTCAATGTGGTCGATCAATATGGTTTCCAAGTAAAATTTATTAACAAAAATTATTTATTTTTCAAATCTTCTTTTTAAGAAAATTGGATTGTCGAACGAACATATCCATTACCTATTGAACGAATTCCAACATTATTTGCTAAATATACATATACAGCTGACGAAGAAGAAAAACAAAGAAGATTGATCCAGTCTGATGTAAATTATCTTTGTCTTTCTATATCATTCTAGACCCCAACAAAAATCTGTAGTATCAGAAACCTTTTAAGAGTTTTATTCGCATATCTTCACTAGTTCTCGAAAGTCGGAAACTCTTCAAGGTTCATGAAAACATTACTATCTGAAATGCTTTAACATGCTTATTATCAGGTTGAAAAAGCTCTTAAAAGATGTTCGAAGCCTTTTCGACATAAAAAAATGTCCGAAAATCCTTTTGTGAAACACTATCTAAAAGAAGAATTGAAGTATAGAGGTAGAAATTAGCTATCCTCCTCTTCCACAGATGTGACAGGATCGTATAGCAATAACGTCTTGCTATAATATATGAATTACATTCTTATTGTATTTTCCGAGCATTTAGTAAAAGGATTGTGAAGAAATACGTCTTAAAATAAAATGAATAAAACAATCTCCTTGTGATTAGTAACAGTAACTACATCGTGTTACACATTTTAATTTCATAGGAATTGTGCTAACAGGTTTTTTTTTGGGCTTTCCACAATACGATTTTTATTTTTGAATAGTGTATAATTAGTATTAGTTTTTTCTAGCCTGATGCACAATATAATCTTCGACGAAAGATAACTTATGCAACAACAACAAGATATCCATTTTGGAGGTGGAAATTATTTGCACTTCGTGCATATTGTTGGCTTTCAAATACTATTTATACATTATGTGTATGAAAATGATCGTTTTAAATCAATGATTTATTTATTTAGTTTTTATTTAGCTTGTGATTCCATTTGCTAGTCCAGTTAGTTTTCGAGCTCTATTATCTCCAACACCATTTCGACCTAATTATGAATTAAATCGAAATGATGTATGTAATAAGAAAAAAAAAACGTTTTATTTGATATTTTGTGAAAATGTTTCTTTTCATTTAGTTGAAACTTCATGAAGATCCATATTCAAAAACACAAACATTTATTTCACGTCTTGTTGCTCTTTGGAATCATGTGAGACATTCAAGACAAAAATTTGAACAAACACCTGATCGAGGTATGTAGAAAACGAATCAAATTCGCAATTGGTTTTTTTTGTCAAACAGAAATCAACATTGAAAAATTTAATTTGTGCGTGATCATATCCAACTGTCGAAGGCTATTCGACTTCATATTATAGCTACGAATAGGTCCCTATAAGACTAAGATAAACTGAAAAAGATTCGGGATCATAATCTACTAATGAAGAATTGATACTGCTTCAATGAAACTTGCTGTATGGACAGATCTAATAGTCATTAAGTAGTTCGAAAAGTTTCGATAAAAAAATAAACATGTGTCTCTCGACATATTCACTTTCCTCAAAAAACATAGCAGTTTACCATAGAAGGATCCAATAATCAAATCTATTCGGAAATTAAATATCTCAAAAAAAGTATCTTCACTGTGGTTGAGAGTTTCAGAATCATCTAATGACTTTAATCTGTCTATACAGAAAATATCATTAAAACGGCCATAACTCTTCATTAAGAGATCATAAGCCCAAATTCTTTTCAACTTTTCTTAGTTTCACATGGATCTACTTGTAGTTATTATATGAAGTTGAGTGACATCCAGCAGTTGAATGTATTCGTTTGTTAAATCTTATGGTCCTTATCAAAAGCTTATTATAAGAACAATTAGTTGTTCTTCGAACTTTTTTTTCAATATTGCCTATTATTTGAACTAAACAGAGAAATAATAAATTTACAGAATCGATTGTATTGTTAATTATATTCTAAAAAGAAGGGATTAACAAAGTTTTTGTTTAAATCTTTGTTTTAGGTTTTTTGGGAAAGAATATGCAAAGAATATTCAATCGACTTTGGAATTATATAGTAAAAGGTTTTATTGGTACTATCGCTATTTGTACTATTTATCCAGCTTCCTGTATAATTCTTTCAATTGGTTCTTTTATATTAGGTGTTCTATCACCTATTTGGTATGTTTCTATAGGTTAGCATAATCATTTTTGATCGTCTATTTACATTTAGGATGCCAATTCTTACATTATTATTTCATATACTTCAAATTCTTATCTATGATGCAAGTTCAGCTGGTAATAATAAATAAATTAGTATAATTATTTAATAATAATTGATTTTTTTTGTTTCTAATTCAGGTGAATATGGTCGAAAAATTTTTTGTCTTATTAATATTTTGATAACTGATTTTCTACTTTGTGGTATTATGCAACCAATATTAGTATTAATTGCATTAATTGCTAGTCCAATAATTTCTCTTTTAATTGTTATTTGTAAGTTATTTCAAAAATAAATATCGTATAATTTTTGTTTTTAATCTAAAATTTAGATGCTCTACTGCATCGTTGTACTCGTGGATTGTATGATAAAATAGTATATCAATTAATTGTTAAACGTTTTGCACGAATTCCAGCACATGATGGTTTTCTTGCAAGACGTATTGCTGGTCCAGGTTTAGCAGCACAATATTTTTATCAAGTTTCATCACCAGAAGTATTAGCAGCATTAGAATCCTTAATTGAACAAAATGAATTAAAAGTTTATCGTTCTTATATTGAACAAATTTTAATGAAACCCGTTGATGAATATCGGTTTGATATAATTTTATTGAATGAAAAGAATAAAATAAAAACTTTTCTTTGTTTTTTTTTTATTTAGACAATTTTTTAATACAGCATTTAAACCATTTTCAGCTCAAGTTCAAATAATAGATAGTCAATCAGTTTATAGTCGAATGAATGATGTTGTTAATGAACATATTCGAAATTTGAAAACAACAATTGAAAAGTAAATTCATTTAGATAGATTCTTCTTTCTTGTTAATTTTCATTTGTTGTTTTGTTTAAAAAAAGGCGTAATAATTTACTTCGAGTACATCATGGTTCTCAACATGATCGTATTCGATTAACAGAAGCTGATTTAACAGTAAGATTTTGATGTTTTTTTTTTTTTTTTTTTTTTATAAAAACAAAATGAAATAAAACTATATATTTTCATGTAGGCTGTACTTATTGAAGGAACACAATTAGTAGAAAAATGGTATCCAAAACGAATACTTTCTTATTTAAATAAAGATGAAATAGAAAAATTTTGGAATGATTATGATCTTGAACAAAATGATTGGTTTGGTAAATATTATTTATACTCTTTTTTTTGTCATTAATAAAATAAATAATTTATTTATTTTCTTACAGGTTTAACAAGTAAATTACTTCAAGAATTATTTTGTCGAGATTTCTTAACACCACTTGAACAAACAGATATTTTTTATAGTCTACAAGTATGTTATATTAATATGAAATTTATTTATAAAGTATTTCTTTTTAAAGGTTGATCATTTAACTTTATCAAAATATGCACATATGATCCATTCAGCTAATTTACATGATGATCTTGATGTTGTTACAAGTGTTTATTTACCTGAAAGTAAGTTAAATTTACTTAATATCTAACAAGATGATGCTATTACACTGATAGATATATGCGGGAATAACTTTTTTTTTTTGGTTATTGAAGACTAGAATAGAATCATGTATAGCCGTTTACATTATATTGTTCATTCATCCAATATTTTACATATATGTTGTATTTATCATTTCATACTTCTTATGTTTTTTTTTTCCAGTGGAAAACTTTAGATAGAATACATTGAAGTTAGTTTAATTAGAGTTGTAGTCAAGAGATGAGTACGCGTGTACCCAAGCCGTTTGAGTCCTTTTCACTAAGATGAAGAAAAATATCATTATCTACTGAACTACGTGACACAATATTAGAGCAATGATACCGAAAAATATCAGAAGAAGAATTTTGACAACATTGTTAGACTACATGTTAAGAGTCGATCAGAACACTCAAGCTCAATGAATTTGAGTTTGAATTGTATTTCAGTTTCTTTTCAATCTCTTATTAATCCAAATGGTTCATTGAATCATTCTCCGTTTGGTTATCAAAGACAGACATCTTTCTATATTTGCAGTGTGACAGATTATTAATATAGTGTGGTGTGTCTATGTTGTTTACACGGATAGTTTAATATCTGAAGTGCACAGTTGGATAATTGAATATATGAATTTTAAATTTCCAGATATAAGATATTTCAATAATTGAATTCAAGTTTTAGGCTAGACATACTTACTATCTGATGAAATATTGTCATGTTGCAAAATAATAACAGTCGAAAGTATAACCACACTCTGTTGCTTTCCAATCTCTGAATGATATTTTTTTTTATCAGAAGATATTCGTAATACATGTTAGTGATTCTTAGATCTGATGATACGATCTATTTGAGAATTATCCTCGTATGATCCAAGAAAAATGAATATAGAACCTTGCCAGCAAACTTTTCTCCTCTCAGTTTTGTTGTTGGTAGTGCATCAACTCGTTTTTTGTAGTTGTAATAATTGTTTTGATTCAAATTCATTAATAATGAAAACTAAACGATGTTCAAGTTTTTTATTTTGCATCAGTATATCTAAGTTGATTTGAAAAAAAAATGCTATTATAGTATATAACTATTTAACGCATTAAAGTTCATGATGTCAACAATCAGAAACCTATGTCAACTACAAATAGCAAACAATTCCAAAACAATAGCACTTTCTATTGTTTTTAAACTAAATCAGTCTTGGAGCTTTTTGAACGAGCCTTGTCTATGTTTCTTTTCAGCTTCATATACAATTCATTATCCATCATTCAATCGAGATATATTCAATCCACATGAACATATTCTTAATATATCAACAAATTATTCGTATGTTAAGAAATATTATAAAAATTTATAATTTATTTATTTTGTTTTTTCTTATCTAGTGAAAAACATCGTGTAAAAGCTCATGGTCGTATACATCGATTTTTTAATCGTAAAGCAAATTATTTAAAACATGCTAATAATTTATCAGAGTTTGTTGATTATACATCAATAACGTGTCGTTTTTCTATACCAATACGATTACCTGATGTAATCTATGTTAATATTATTATATTTAATCGTGATAATAATAATGCACTAACAATAGCATCATCATCAATTAAAAATATATCTCTTCAAGATATTTTTCAACTTATTGAATATAATAAAAAATTTTATGATGAACCTATGTTACCAATATATTCATCAAGAATTTCATCTCTTACTAGAATAAATAATATGACACCTGATGATTTAGTTGTGATTAATACAATATCAGATAATGATGATGAACTATTAAATGATAATATTGCTGTACTTGACGAAAAACTTTTGTAATCATTTGATTACAATAGTGACAAAGTCTCTTTTTTTTATTGTTTCTTTGTAACAGTGGTGAATTTGATGCCTTTTTCTTCTTTTTTGCTATGATTAATATGCTTTTTATTACAATATATCTTATGTGTGAATACAATTAAATCATGAAATTTTTAAGATAAAAATATTCTGTGTGCTATTTATAAGTATTGTTCAAAAATAAAAAAATCTTATGAAAAGTTCAGTATTTATTTCTTCAAATAATATTTATGAAATCATGAAAAACAAAAAGAAAAGAAAGAATTTAGAAAAAAAAAACTATTTATTGATTTAGTATGAAATTTAAACATAAATACGATGCCAATGATAAAGAATAAGATAGAATATCACCGTAATAATTACATCCAAAGATACAGCAACAATATACCATGCAATAAATGTTTTTAATGTTATACGATTTGTTGTTTTGTCTATACATGATGTCCATGCCCAACCCATACAACAAGTTGCTTCACTATCTGTCATGTGAATAGTAGTTACTGGTGAACCTCCTGAATAATCAGTGTTTCTAGATTGCAGTATTTTGTATATGAAATAAATTGTTTGACTAAGAAAACAAATTCCAAATACAATTGGACAAATTATCCAAGCGAGTAGAACAGCCATATCGATGTTGACTAGTGAAACAATGAAACAGAGCCCTTACAAATATTTAAAATAGTATACTATCTGAGAGATAACAGATATCGAACGTCACTGTAATGAAAAAAAAAATATAATGACGCCATTTTGTCTCTTACTTGATTATCGTTGATTCATATAAATGATAAAATGAGTTCAAATTTATGAGATAATTTTAGTCATGATTGTTTTAGATTATTTTATTTTATTGAAAATTTTTCAAGGTCTATGATAAATGATATTGTTGAAAATACTTTGGATGAATATCTCGAAGATGTATATTATATTTTCTTGTTAAGGTTTTTTTTCATTCACAGATATAGAGAATCAACAGCATAAAAACAAAGATAAAACAATGAGACTTCAATCTATAGCTTCATAGTACCCTATTAAAAATTTTATTTAAAAAAACTAAGAATAGATTTTTTTCAGAAAAAAAGGAAGACTTGAGCAAGTTTCAAAAGTCGGTAAAAAGAAAGAAGTTTTTACTATTATCAAAGCCATACTGATTATAGAATTTACAAAATACTTTTTGTTTATGATTGATGAACTTCAAAAATAACAGATACTAGTAGTCCAAAAATATCCGGACACTGTTAGTTTTTTCTTTGCATTTTTTCTTTTGTGTAATCAGAATGTAAATATTAAAATATCTCCTTAGATAGAGAACAAACACATTTTCTCTTCAATACTTGATGGTCTTCATTTCGTACTTTACTCCATATGAAAAACAACGTTTGGATTTTTCATGAAAAAGGAAATTTTATTCATTATCATCGCTGTAGAAATCGGCCAATAGGAACAAAAAAAATATATATTTAGATGTTCAGCTACTTTATAGACTACTTATATTTTTAAAATTTTATGAATATTAAAATGATCTTATTCTCTTATACTTTTGAAAATGAAAAAATACTCAAGGTAATCCATAACTTGCAAAATAAGTTGAAATATATATTAAGGTACCTTATTGGTTTTCAATAAAAATTCAACTCTTTGAAGAAAAAAACCGTAGAAATCTTTAAAAGAAATGAATATTTCTTTGGCTCACTCTCCTTCATACCTCTCACATTCACAACATCTTACTCTCATTATCAAATCTAACAATAATTCGCTTGTGGATTTTATATTTATTTGTAATGTTATGATTTGTCATTTATACACTGATACTGTATTAACGGGTACGCCAGATATAATGGCCGGGCTTTGCATTTCAAGTTTCATTCACTTAATATATTGTATTAAAGAAACAAAATATACCACAATATGCAGTGTGAAAAGCTATACAATTTACATGAGATCGCTCATTTTATACTTGACTTTTGGGTTTTCAAAATGGGTAAAATTTTAATCGAACCAATTTCGACCGTGCGAAAATCGGCCGTACAAAATTTTGGTTTTTTTGGGCACAATTACAATAAGCTTTACTGTGTAAATTGTAGAGCTTTTCACGCTGTATCTTATAGTGTATTTTGTTTTTCTTTTAAATGAAAAATATTAGGCGAGAAAAAAGATGAAGAAAAAACAAACGAATTCATTTTGTGTCAGAAAAAACATCGTTCTCACACGGTTAAGATTTGATCACTCTTAATTTTGACCACTTTGAAAGTAAAAAGTGCAGCTCTAAAAAAAGCGGCCTCGTGTAAATCGTAGAGCTCTTCGCGCTGCGTCTTGTGGTTTTTTTTTTTTTATACAATATATATTAAGTGAATGAAAATTGAAATGCGAAGCGCGGTTATTATATCTGGCGCACCCGTTACTTTTGTGACCTTCCCTATGTACTTATAATGAATTACATTTTTTCATTAACAGAGCAGCAGATGTTACCGATAGTTATGATTTATATCAAGTATCACTCGTACTTCAATATTAAAAATTTCATTGCCAAGCAAAACCATAAATCTGTCAAGATGATCAGAACACAATGATATGTATTTTAAATTGTTCCTAGTCGGTTATTTACAGTATATCATTTTGTTCCAGTTTAGTGTTAACTAACACCATCTTCAGGATAGATATAAATGAAAAAATTTGGAAAGATAAAGTAAGTAGCCTGTAAAAAACTAGGATAATTCCTCTATTGCCATGCATATATATTAACTAAATTAGATCGAACAACGAAACTTAGTTTTATTATCTCGTTTTTGTCATGATAAATTTCATTTCATATTATGATTAGTATTCTTTTTTTTCTTGCTCATTGATATATTCATGTAATTCTTGTTAGAATATCAATTTCATAAAATATGATTTTAATATCAAATAGTTCTTCAATAGAATATTTCTCCTTATTGTAATTTAACCTAAAAATTAATATACAAATTCAAAATTATACTTTTTTTTGTTCTTTTTTTAAAGTGTTCATAGATTTTTGAATAGAGAAATAAAACAAACGTCAATATGTTTATATCTAAATTGAATGCACTCGTTGCAAATATACAACACTTCTCGAATGATCTCAAACAAATTTGTCTATTCAACAATCCATAATTATCAATATCTAATCATTTTTTTTTCAAGGTTACAATACAAATTCTAACCACAGTAATTTTCTGTTCACACTTAAGTGAAACAATTAAAAATAAATTATAGTAAGTTCTAAAGACGACTCGTAATTCTAATTACACATAGTACATTAACATTTTTCTAATTAAAAAGAAAAAACAAATCGTTTCTTATTTTTTGAAATAATAAGACAAAAAAAAAAGTTTTACTTTTTCTTTTCTTTTCTTTTCTTCTCTTTTCAATTTCATTCTTAGATCATTTTGTAAATAATAAATACAACAAAAGAAAACAACAATCTTCATGGAAACGAATCTTACCAATAATTATTCAAAACTTGAAACATTTTCTGACGAAGTTTTTTTCGAAATATTTGATCGTTTATCACCTAGTGATCTATATAAAACATTTTATGGTTTAAATATTCGTTTAAATACAATATTAAATGATTCTCGTATGCGTTTTCGTGATAATCTCTCATCTCTTACTCCAAAACAATTTCATTCCTATGTTAAAAATATTCTTCCACAAATTATTGATCGTCTGATTTCATTTAAATTTGGAACATATGATACAGATGAGGTTCGATATAAATTAAAAACAAAATATCTATTCATTTAATATCATTTAAATTTTCTTCTAGTATCAACAAGTCAGTCTTTTCTTACATAAATATTCTATTGATTTAAGTCGATTCAAACATCTTCGTACATTAGTAATTATAAAAATGACAATAGGAGATGTTCAAATTGTTCAATCAGCACTTATTCATCTTATACATCTTGTAAATATACGTTTTTCAGTTGATAGTAATGATGTTGATACAACATCTTTTGTTCATATTGGTAATGATTTATTAGCTGGACCAAAATTAAAACGTGTTAAAATGGATATGTGTGCTCGAACAACATTTGAAAATGTAACTAAATCATCTAATATTGAACAATTATCAATAGCATGGTGTGAAATGCAAGAATTAACACATTTACTTCAATATTCACCATATTTATCTACACTTAAAGCAACTATATGCGGATTAAATTATGGTAAGATATGCACAATTCAAAATATCCACAAAATCTTTTTCTTTCACGTGAGTGAAAAGAACATATCGAGTTACGCAAGAAAAAAAAGCTTTGTGAATTTTTAAAATCTCAAATTTCATTAAAAAAATTTCCATACACACATGAATTTTTTTTCTTATTCGTTCTGTAGAAGGTTTTTAAAGATTGTTTCCTTGTTCTCTATGAAAAATGCATTAGAAAAAAAATATTTTAAAATTTATTTCTCTTAATCAATTTTACATCAAATATCAGGTAACAAGTTTTAAAAATCTTCTGTAAAACAAAACAAAAAAAAACAACATTCACACATAAATGAAAATTATTGCAATGATATTTAAATTTCTATATCTTGTCAACATTTCCTTTGCTTTTCGCTTTTAAACAATTCACAAACTAGGTTTTTTCTAGGCACGTCAATATGATCTGTTCACTCACGTGAAAAAAGTTTTGTAAAAACTTTGAATTACGCACATCTTAAAACAATAAAAAAATCTTTTTTTTTTCTTGATTTCTAGCTGATACCTGGATACAAACAATACGTGGAAGTCTTAATCAAAAGTGTTCTCTACGTTTAAATTCTCTTAAACTAGTTATTGAATCAATACGTTTTGATTATTTATTATTATTACTTCATGAATTAAAACAATTACGTGCATTATGGCTATTACTTAATCATTACGAATATCTGGATGCTGAAAAATGGGAAAATTTATTTCAAACATCTTTATTACAATTAGATCAACTTGATTTAACAATTGCATTAACTAAACCATTTTTATCTGTTAATACAGCTGGACAATTAATTATGTTATCAACACCACATATAGCATGTGCAAAATTTAATACAAAATTTTGGTATGAACGTGGTTGGCGTGCAAAACTTGATGAATATGATCATTGTGTACGATTAACTGTATCAAATAATACCGTACCTATATGAAATAAAATAATAATTATAATTAAATGAAAACCAATCGTCTTTTTTTTTTTTGTCTGTTGTTCGTCAGATTATTTCTTGTATCATTTAAAATTCCATAATTATTCCTTTCGCTTTTATTTTTCTGTATTCTGTATCAATATCAATATTGTTGAGTTAAATAAAATAGTTTAGGAAGGAGTTAGACCTTCTGTCGGCACTGACCATTAATGGTTTCATGTTGTTCTTTTTTCTTTTTTTGATGAGAAAATTGTTATTTTGTTTAATATGATATGTCTTATGAGTGTTTTAATTTAATTATCTTCATGTTTTTTTTTCTTTTTATTGAATTTGTCTCGATAACAAAATTCTAATAATTATTGCTTGAGGATATTTCATTTAACAAGAACATAGAAAATTGTTTATTTATAATTTTTGCTTGACAATTCATTGAATTTCTTATGTTAATTATAAACATATTCATCCAGGGAGAATAGCTCTTCAAGTTATTTGGACTACTTTCTGTCTTTTTCAGAGTATTAATTAATATTCTAAAAATTCTCTGATGACATGAAACATGCATTTTATATGATGCGACCAACAAACTTTGCATTTTTCTCTAGCAACTAACAGTAATATTTTTATTTAACATACTAGTAAATTATTTTATGATAAGAACGAATACAATCCTTAGATGAAGAAAAAAATAATTAATAGTGATATATTAGCAATATTGCTTTAAGTATATTTCTTTCTGGAAAAACTTATATATGACAGATGTAAAAAACAGAACAATCTATTTAATTGTTGTACAAATATTTCAATTTGTAAGAGGTCTATTGATGAGTCATTCATAACATACGCACGGTAGACTATTATCACATTCTATATTATATGTATATAAAAGAAAAACAAAAGCGAACAATCAAAAGAAAAAAAAGAACTAAGTTCACACATATAATAACAAATTACAGAATTCTTCTCAATTGTTCGGTTTGTAAAACATTTAATTTTGTACGTAATAAAAAGAATATACCGAGTAAAGCAGGAATAGAAACAGGTACAAGTATAATCCATGGTGTCCAAGCTCTCAAAACAAGCATTATTGTTAAAACTATTTCAATACCAGCAATTGATGCTAATGTTGCATACCAAACAGCACGCTTCATTGGAGTTTGTTCAGCAATTGGTTGTGATGGTTTATTTGATGTAACCGGTTGATAAACAACATCAGTACCATCAGTTGGTTCTAAATCATCAATTGAAAACATTTGTGGTTCTTGTCCCGTACTACGTGCACCATTAGCATCAAGTCCAGTAAATATATCAACACCTGGTGTAAGAACAGTATGTGCCGAACGAGATATTAAATGAATATGTGAATCAGAATAAACTATACTTTGAAGATACATAAATAAGAAAAATGAAAAAGCATAATAAGATGTAACTAAATAAAAATAACGTTCATTAGTTTTATAAAAACTAGCAAATAATAGTGTATCACTCATTGCTAGAAATAATATAGAAAATTTTGATAAAGATTTTGCTGTTCGTAATAATGAATTAAGTAAAATCTAAAGAAATTTAAAATTTAAAAAAAAAAAAAAGAAATTTTCTGAAGAAAATTAATCTTTATCATACTTGAGGTAACATATGTACTGAAAGTAATAAATAACCAGTTACAATTAAAAGATTCTCATATTTTCTTAATAATAATATAATACCACCACCAATAATCCATGTAAGTAAACCACTACCTATTAATATAATTTTTTGTTGCCGATGAAGATTATCAGCATATATAAAAATTTGTATAAATATAGCTATTGTTGAAATAATAGCAATTAATTCAAATACAAATGACCAATTGAATGCATGTGCAACCATTAATGAAGCTAAACCAAGTACACGTATTATTATCCACATATAACTAATACCAGCAATATACCTTGAACCATGATTAAATAAATGAATTATTTGTGGAAGAAATGATACAGCCAAAAAAAGATAAGCTAATACACGAACAAATTCAGCTAATCGACATGTTGATAGAGAATATTTTTGTAAACAGTTTTCATAAAATGTATTTTTATGTGTTGAAATAGTTGATGTTAGTACTGTTGTTGAATTTATAGTACTGAAAATGGCAGTAAGCAATGTAGATGATGAAATAGACGTCATATTATTCGACATGATCAATTATACTATAAAAGAAATAATATCTTGTTAAAAACTCAATACTTGACTTTACTAAATAGAGAAAAGTACATGTCAATATATAGAGAAAAAAACACGCAGAATAAAAAGAAAAAACTCTCAGTTAGATACTCTATGCGTTTCTTTTTATCATAAACAACCTATGCGAGCACTACTAGCAAAATAATATTCTCACTCACACTTATTTTTTTTTCTGTTCGCTTCTTTAGTCAAGTATTTTTATGATACAGACATCCATCGGCACATGCATAGTAGTCGACTCATATCGACAAAAGCTAACATATATTCGAAATGTCTTCTTATCTTTGCAGCGAAAAAAAGAAAAGGGTAATAGAAATTTCTTATTTAAAATAACAACAGTTGAATGAATCATCAGATTACATATCCTTACATAATGTTCATTCAAATACTTTACTAATTGGTCCAACAGTAAAAGAAAGAAAAAAAAACCCGGGCTAGACATAAAGCTTGAATGAATACATAGAAGAAAACAGAAAGAACATAAAAACAAAACCCTACTGCATCAAAAGGATGTGAACGAACGAAAAAGAAAAGAAATTATTATAATCAAAATGCATACGAAGAAAAGTGTTGAATAGAGAAAAAAAACCTGATGGTAAATATGCGCATGATGCATTTGATGAATAAAATAAGGCTTGATGAAGAAGAGGTGACACGATGAATGGTGATGAGAAAAGCGACGAGATGAAAATAGAAGAAAAAGAATCGAAGAACAAAAAAAAAAAAGAAAAAAGAAAAAAGGATGAGAAAAATATTAAAAGGACAAGTATATAAATGTTCGAAGGAAAGTATATATATATATCTTTTTAAACAAAAATAAATAGATACGATCGAAATATTGATTCATTGACTATTGCTTTTTTTTTTTGACGTCGTCATTTATCACACTTTTCATTGACGTACAAAAATGTGACTATGATTAATTTTACGTCGATAAGTCTACCATTGAGTATAAAATGAGATAATCTTCTGCTCAAAAAATTTGTCTCGCTTACAAATTAAATATTATAGAAAAAAAAGCTTTTCTTTTTTTCACACCACTATTAAAATATTTGCTTTTGCTTTTCCTTTGATAAATAAGAAAATGTCCTTCTATTTTTAACAATTTACTGTTCAAAATCTAGGACATCTGTGCACTATAGATAAAAAAAATTACACAGGTCTGAATTTATAATAAAAACCAGCAGTATCTCGAGCGATAGGAAGGTGGGTGACTTCCTTCGCAAGATCTTGAAAAATTTTCGTTTTTCTCCAATGGACTTTCAGTGTTTTTCTTTTGCTCATTAATTTCTAGAAAACGCTCAACACCTTCCCCATCCTCAAATTCTGTCAACATTAGCAATAATCTTCCGATCGACCGTCCCAGTTCTGACAATCTCGGAATATCTCTAAACAAAACGATATGTTAATCTATACTATAGAGTACAAAACTAATCCATAGAGAATTCATATTAAATAGATTTGTAAAAAATTTATGCGTATAAATAATAAATGGGATTGTGACCGACTTTGATCTATGCTAAAATAGATTCATATAGTCAATGATTTATGGATTATCAACCATGTCTGAGATAGTTCATATCTAGAAGTGATAGTTTTGTATATCAGAAAGTTGGTATGTTTTTTTATAAACACTGTTGCAAATTCGTTTTGATAAAGAAAACTTCAAATCTAAAATATAAATTATAATTTGAAAAATAAAATATCAATCAAAGAATAAGAAAACTAATTAAGAAATTCAGATTGAAATATTTAATTATATTCATTCTGGATATTCAATACAATAAACAGGTAAAGTTATATCATAGTCAATTTGAGGTTCTGTTGGTTGTCGTCGTCGTTTTCGACGACGATTATCCTCTACTTGAGATAAATCAATTGAACTAAACATATTTAAAATTCATCAAATAATAATAATAATTCATTAGAAAATCTTTTCTTTTTCTTACGCGATATAATACAATGATCTATCTCGAATTGCTGATGTACGTGATGTTTGTATTGATGAATAATCTCTTATATCATGAATATTTTCTAATCGAGATGTAGTTGTAGTATCAATTGATGATAAATGATATGGCTAACGTATATTTCTTGTTTGTACACGTTCTTCAAGACGAGTATCATCCGCATCTTGAATGTTTGATAATTTTGATATTCGAGCATTTTTTATAGATGATTTACGTAAATAACAAATATTACCAATAACAAGTGCAAGTAATAGTAGAAAACCTACAGAATCAAAAATTATAGATAAAACTCGACAAGTATCCTTTGTAGTACGATCATTAGAAAGAATAGAACCCTAAAAAAAAATGACACAAAGAAAAAAAATGATTTATTTTGTTTTTTTTTCAATAAAGCTATTCTATAGAAATTGCTTCTAACCTTGGAAATTAACAAAGTCTACTTGATGATAATGTTATATTTGATATACAATCTGTTTCAGATAAAGTTTTAAATTGTGTTATTTTTAAACTTGATATATTACTACATGAAAATTGATTTGTAATTTTTCTTGATGAATTAAATAGATGAAAATATTCTTTGATATATATATTGAAGAACATTGACATTCAATTTCTATTGTACTATTACTATTTTTTATACGTTCAGATATGTCAATAAGATAATTTAATGATTTACTATTACATACATTATAATTTTGTGATATTTCATCAATAAGAAGAAAACGCATTTGATTTGGTAGAATAACATTTGTTGAAATTGGTCTATTAAGTAAAGATTGTTTTTTCATAATTATTAATAATATGATAACCATTAATTTTTTTTAAAAAAATAGATTATTTTCTAAACTAATATTTGCATCTGCATATGTATATGCAAATAAATCGAATTGACTTAATTGATTTGATTATAAAAGAAGAGTTCATTTCGATAATTGTCTACTAGAGATTGTATTTTGATTTGAATGTAAGATACTATATGATAATTGTGTTAGATTATTTGATGTTAGATCAATCAATATCCAATTGGATAATGTCAAATTGACAATACTAATTAGATTATGGGCAAGATTGATCTTTTGAACGGTATTATTTGATGAACAAGGAAATGTATTCCTATTTAATTATATGAAATGATTGGTTCGAACGATCGATAGAATTTGATAGTAATGAATATAAGTAAATCGGCAATTGAGATAATGAATTTTGATTATTAACTAGAACTTGTATTATATTTTTAAAATAAATATTATCAAGAATCACTGATAAGTTTCAGGAAGTGTACTAGATTCATTAATACAATCAATTGAAACTCGTTGTCCAATAGTATAAAATGTAAATGGACAATAACTATTATTAATAGTTTGAGTTAGATAATATGGATATATCTGTTTAAAAAACAAAAGAAGACATTATTACTAAAAAACATTTGTTTATCCTTTTTTTGTTTCAACTGACTTCAGTGATATTATTAGTTGTATTAATTAATATTATATTACCATTGTTTGGATTTATTTTACAAAGACGTGGCAATGTATTTGTGAAACTAACTGATGAAGTAGAACAAGTCGCTGTATTTGTATTATTATAGAATAATGTCTGATCTGTATACTTAGTCTTTCATAAAGGATACGTTGAAGAAAGACTATTACCAAATTAATACAAGTAACTTTGTTATATATATAGTATTGATTACAAGTACAGTTTATTTTTGATGTGCCAAAATTGATATTTAAGAAACTGACAGTTAAAATGTGAACTATCGAAGGAATATTTGTGTTAAATATTTGTTGAATTTCATAATAAGCATCAGACATTTCATAAATAGCATCTGTCACATTGATTATTTCACTATTATTTGTTAAATCAATAGATTGCACCAGGTGAATAGTTGTATGTTGAAATATTAATATTAGCATTATTTGTTATTTTTTGATATTTGATTATTAGATAAATCGATGGATGCTGAAATAAATACAATAGATGCAAGATCGAATGATTTTAATTGATTATTTTGTAAGAAAACTCGTGGAATATTCATTGTTTATGTTAAAAAAAAAGGATGAATATTCATTAAAAAAATTGTTACTCATATCAAGTGTTCGTAAAGTTTCTAGACAAGATGAATTTCACGAAAACAATATTGAGTCTAGATGATTAAGGCGATTGAATGAAACATTTAATATCTTTGAATATAATAGAATACAAACAAACAGAAGAAAATATAAAGTTCAGAAAGACATACTTGTAAATTAGTTAAAAAGCAAACATTTGGTGAAATAATTTTAAGAGGTCCACGTACACCATTACCTCCTTGTATACTTAATGATATAGTACGATTCAAATTCGTTAGAGCGTAATTAGTAATTGCAAATAATGATATATTCACATTGGATGGACATGTCAATTATAGATTTGTATCACTAACAAAAAAAATTGAAAGATATATTGATATATTCACGTCAGAAATTGAAGTCTACAATCACAATACATTGATTATACATAAAATCGACAATGATTTTTCAAACATGAGAAAAAAAGAATATGAATTTAAAAGATACTTTCAGACTTTATTGTTCAACAATCTCTTATACAGAATTCTCTACAGTTTCCATAATGAGCAGTAAGACTTTCAATCGAAACTGAAGCAAAATTATTGGTACGATTACTTCTCCAACACAGTACTTAGATTCTGCTTTCTAAGTCTATATTGTTTTATGATCTTACAATATTTGAAATTATTTATCTTACTATAGTTGTGGACATTGCTATTGCTAACGTTGTAGTCGTTGATGATGTAGATGAAGATGTGGACGTTGTTATTTCCGATGTTTTAGTTGTTGATGATGTGACTGTTGACGAATTTGTGAACAATGTAGAGGTTATTGTTTTTGATGTTGTAGTTATTCATGATGTTGTTCGTGAGTCTGCCGATGTTGCCAATATGGTTGTTGATATTGTCGTTGTATTCCAGTCAGCAAGTTTGCATAACCGAGATTGCACTTGTGTAAAGTTGATTGTAGAATATTCGAGTGAAGAAATATAATTAACAAAGTTCATTGGTTCATTAGCGCATAATAAAGTAGATATACGGCCTAAAATTGAAAAACCAAAAGCAATTTGGAGCATTACTAGAATATAATATTGATCACAATTGCAATTCACTTATGTTGTATCGAAGTCCATGTTTATCAAGCCAAAAGTTAATTATATTGGACGATTAAGAGTATCTGTTCATGCTAGTCGAACTTCTTCACAAGATCCATACATTTCATAGATTCCATCATCAAATTGAAGTATGAGATTACCATCAAGTAGAATCTCAGCGTTACCAGTTTGAAGATCTAATGATATATTTTAATTGGTAGGATTAATAATTGATGTAATTTGATTTCTTCTTAAATCAACTGTTCTTCGAATAAGTGCAAGAATAGATAAATCGAACGAACTCAATTGATTATCATTTAAATAAACCATCAAATAATTATTGCTTAAATCGATTGTTTTCCATTGAGTTAAACAATTAACAAAATTAGAATCGTTAAGTGTATTTCTTAGTTGACTGTAAGTTAAATTAAAAATCCATATAAACATAAAGTTTTCTCAATGTAACTCTAAGGACTACAGAAAAGAATCTCGTAGTTAGATTTGATATCCAACAAATATTCGATGGAATAGAAGTAAATGGTCCATGAGTATTATTTTCATCTTGAGCAAGAAAACTAGTGAATTATCTTAACCATAACCTACTAATTGATAAAAAAGGTAATTCACCACCCTCTTAGTACCATTTAGGCATGTTAATATTAACTGTGGCTAATTAGTTGTATCAGTCGAATATATTGTTAGACGATCATACTGTAAGAGAATTAATTTTAATGAAATAAATATAATTATATTAATTTATGTAAAATAAAAGAAGAAAATAATATTTCTTTTTTTAGACAAAACTCTTCAAAGTTCAAACATAATACTTTCTTCTTGTCTTACTAAATAATAATATTATTGTTAAACATTATGCACAAAACAAGAGTTGATTAGTTAGTAATCAAGCTACAAAAGATTATTATTGTTGATTTCTTTTTATTAGAAACACACAAAACATATTTCACACTCTAATATAAGAAAGTACAAAAAGAAGATAATACAATAATGCGCTCATGCTTGCAATCCAATGAATGAGACACTTCAGTTTATTGTCCTTCTATCCTTTTTTTGTGTCATATATATATATAAATAATGAGTGTCTCTTTCCAGATTAAGCATTGGATTTAATCACGCTTGTCAGACTCTTGGTTCTTGAAATTATTGTTGAAGAAAAGAACGTTGAATTTTAGCTGAATTATTTATAGGATTAAAATTCGATGGATTATTAGAAGTATATGAATTTGGTGCATATTGTGGAACAATACTGCTTGCTGACCTGTATGAAATATTTGTACAGTTATTTCAAGCAAAAACAAAAAGAAATTCAATACCTAATAGCATCAAGTCGAAGGGGAATACCTTTTGATGATCTACCTGGATCAGATCTATGTAATATTGCCATTGAAGAATGTCCTGTAGTCGACTCAGGTGCAACAGAACCAAAAGGTGGTCGAGGCAATTGCGATGTTTGAGTAGTAAGTGGTGTCAATCGAACAGGTCGTAAATTTCTTGTTTGTAAACGAGATTCCAAGAGAGAATCATGAGGTGCTTGACTCATAGCCGTTGCTCGAATGATCGGTTTATTCATCACTGCAGCATTGCTTGCAGCTCTTGCTTTGACAACAACCATAGCAGCGATAAGACCACCAATTAATGCAAAAAAACCAACTAAACCAAGAACAAGACCAACAATTAAACCAGTACGATTTGTATTTCTAACCATCATAGTTGTAGTTGTGGTTGAAGTAGATGTTGATGTTGATGTCGAAGTTGAGGTAGTAGTTATGCTGGTTGTTGTAGTTGAGGTTGAAGTAGATGTTGATGTCGAAGTTGTACTTGTTGTTGCGCTTGTAGTCGTAGTTGAGGTTGACGTTGTGGTTGTCGTTGAGGTTGACGTTGTGGTTGTCGTTGAAGTCGATGTTGTAGTCGTTGTTGTCGTTGTAGTCCACTGAAATGAGTAAAGCAGAAGATTTAGAAGCACTAATTTTATAGATGACTGAAATATTATCGTTCAATACATATAACTTTTATTGTGTTCTCTAGTGTACATTGGTCCGATGATTAAAACATTCAAAAATTGAAGAATCATGCATAGATATACGTAAAGCAAGAATAAAGTGATGAAATCAACATGTTGAAAAGAAAAATAAAGAAGAGAAGTATTGGTGTCAAAAACTATAACAATATCTATTCATCTATGGCTATCCAACGTCAATTCTATTTGTGATGATAGGACGATCAAAAATAAAATATTGATTTGAATTAAAAACGTAAAAAAAATGATAAAGAATGATTCATCATTGATGAAACACTTACGTCCGTACTGATCATCATATCGTTATCTGTTATTGTTTCTGTTGCATTAGTTATTAATAATGTACTAGAAAGAGAGGGTATGGTCGATAATGTAGTTGAAGTATCCATTAAAATTGTTGTTGGATTTATTGAAGATGAAATAATCATTTGATGATTATTACTTGTCGAAGGTATTGATGTAACTTCTGAGTAAGAAGAATTTGTTGATATTATTGTTTCAATATATAGAGTTGATAATTGTGTTGAATTATTAGTTATTTCTAGTGTATACAAGTCCATACCTGTTTCTTCGAATTCAGGTAAACTTGTATATTGTTGATTTTTTGTTACAGTTGATGATAATGATGAATTTATTATAAGAATAGTTAGAGAAGTACTAGTTAACTGAACATGAGTGCTTAAAGATTGTATTGTTGTGTTATCCAAAAATGTCTGTAAAATGATTAAAAGAAACAAACAAACAAACACACAGTTACAATGGTCATGCCTTGCTATTCGTATAGCATAGTTGGTAACGATAGTGCATTAATTATATATATTTGTGGATAAATGAAGATATTAGTATTTTGTTTTTCTTATTTTTTTTTTTGTTAGACAAGAGGATTGACGAAAACACATTGAAAAGCTTTAGTTCTTACTAATTGACAAACATAAATAAAGTAATGAGAACACATTTAAATGATTAGATGTGCGCAGTAAACATTCTGACTATATAAAATTATTTCTTTTCATGGAAATCTATATAACTTTTTTTTTGTTTTCTTTAACTTAATTTTTCTTAGTTTAGATTCTTTAAGAATATCGAACATACCTGTAATGATTCATTGAAACATAATCCCGACGAAAAATTCATAGCAGTCGATCCACAAGAGAAAATTGTTAAAGTTAAAAAACTTTCTACTGAAGTTCCATTTGAACAAGTAAAATCATCAATAATATCAGATTGATTTCGTAGAAAAATTTCTTTTAAATTTATAGATGCACATGTACAATCGAGTAAAATATTTTTGTAGATCGATTGAAGAATATCTCGATATGCTAGAACAGCATAACGATTACATGTACCAGCAGTTAAAGCTGTTTCATCATTGAAAATATATGTACTATTAATTATCGATAATGGAAAAATAATATTAATTGTTGAATTCGTATTATTCACTAATGATAATGTTACATTTAATGGATTGATAATACTTGAAATATTGATTGGATTATCTCTAAGATCGATTGTAATATCTTTAAGTGTATAAAGAAAAAGATCGATTGAAGTAAGTGAATTATTTCTTAAATTAAGAAAATGTAAAGAACTTGATGTTGATATAAGAATTGAATAAGGAATTCTTGTAAGTTCATTTGATGAAAGATCAAGTGAAGTTAAATTAGTAAAATGACTATTGTTCATATTCACGAATGTCATTTGATTATTAGCTAAGTTAACTGAACGAAACCAATCAAGACATGGAAATGTTTCATCATTAAGTATAGTGAATGATTGAAAACTCAAATCAATATCATGTGATGGTAATGAACAAATATACGATGGTAATGATGAGATAGAACGACCGAAATCAACATGTGTAATATTAGAAAAATAATTACTTGCAAGTAATTCGGACGGAATAGTCGACGAATTTGATATATCTTTTGTACATTTAATTCTTACTGTAGTCATATTCGAAAAAGTAAAGAAACATGCACCTGGATTCATTAATTTTATTTCATAGTGTGGATAAGCTGACTAAAGAAAAAAAATGCATAGAATTTTATTATTATATTATTAATAAATTCAAACGAATAATACACAGTTATGGAAATAAAAGCTTGTTTTTAGAGATATGTCGAGTTAGTCTATCCTGTAGAATAGGATAACAATTGGCAAATTTCTCTCAGTCAAAGTATGGAGTATGAGAAAACCTTGCTCTACACATCTCTATTTGTTACTACAAAAATTTTAATAAAACTCATGCTAAACAAACAAAACGTATTTTTTTTGTCTATTAAATTTTTATTCGTCATCTTCTACCATTCACAATTGAAATAACAATCATAAAATTAATGAAATCTACTGACAAACAGGAAAAAAAAACGATTTGTAAAATTTCATAAACTTATATCTTACCACATTTATTGTGGGAACACTGATATTTGAAATGGTTGTCAAATTACCAGATTCATATTCATAAATTTTGCATTGTCTTGGATAAACTTTTGAAAAGTCGACAGATGAATTTTTCAGATTATCATAGTTACAGGTATTATCAACAAATAGTGTACCATCGACGCATTTTGCGCTATATATTGGTATTCTTGGAGTTGCTGCTGGATTACGATCAGCAAAAACCGCAGAAATCATTGGTACAATATAGGATTGATCACAACTACAATTGATTCTAGTTGTTCCAAAATCAATATATGACAGAGCCGAAGTCAAAATTGGTTTAGTTAATTCTTCATCTGGTGTTGATGAATTGAGCCAAGAATAAACTTCACTACATGAATTATACATTTCATATATGGCATCAGTTAAATTTATAGTTGGGCTATTGTTAGTGAGATAAATTGTTGAGTCTGACAATGTATATTGAGATATATTATAAAAGGCAGTATTTGTTATAGTAGAAATTTGATTATTGCTAAAGTCTGCACTTATATTCACTAGCAAAGCCCATAATTCAAAATTTGTTAAAAAATTATATGAAAAATCAATTATTTCTAGATTTGATAAATTAAAAAAAGCATTGCCAGGTACATTAGTAAGTTGATTATGTTGAAAATAAAGCTTATGTAATGTTGGCATATTATAAATCATAGCAGATGGAAATTCAGATATATTATTATAACTAACATCGAATGTAGTCACAGTAGATAAGCACTTACTCAATACATCCGCTGGATCTACTTGATTGATACGGTTATATGAAAAATTGATTTTCTAAAATACATTTAATTCGACATACTAAGGAAACACTATTTTTTTTTGCTAACCTGTAAATTAGATAATAAACAAATATTTGGAGGAATCGATATAAATGGACCTCGAGTAGTATCATTAACACCATTTACTATAATTGATGTTATTTGAGCCAATTCATCAGTAGTATAATTGTATAATGGAAGTTCATTGATTATAACATCGGATAAGCATGTAAAAATGATTTCTGATGTATTAGATATTGTACTAGTACATTCATTCTTAGATAGACATATCTACATAAAAGATTCTTTTTTAAATAAAAAAGAAAAGAAAAGAAATCTACAATTCAATACTTACAGTCCATAATATCGAGTTCACTATGGTAACTAAAAACCATTTGATGACCATGATTATCTAAAGTCTCCTAAAATATTTTTGCTTATTTTACATAACAAATGATCATTAAATCAAGAGATCTGAAACAAATGATATATGAATATAGAAATTTAATCATATTTTTAAATGATAGAACTTAAATTCTTTCATACTGTTCAATCTCTCTCACATCATTTTCTTTCTATCTAACTGTGGTTATGTTTAATTGATTGACAGCAACAGTCTTTATGAAAAAAAGAAAGAAAAACTTGCATTCGTTGGAGTGCGCAGATGATGAGATAACCTTCAACTAGCTTGAAAAAGAAGAGCGAAGATAGGAAAGAGAGAAAATAAAAAATTCAAAGTTACAATGATGTCGATGACGACGGCTACTATACTTCAATCACAATCATCTCTTATTTGTTGAAAGTAATATGTATGCATCAGGAAAACGAAGCAAAAAAAAAAGAATAAAGTCGAAAAGAAATAAATTAGTATAAGAAAATTGAAAAAAAACGTGCTTGCATGTTGATAATATTAGTTTGTTTGAATCTGATTCTGAATAAAACCTTTCAAATACGCATATCAATATAATGTATATCTTTTTATTCTCATAACAAATATTAAATATCAACGTTATAAACATATTACTCAATGTCATGAAGAATTTCTTTTGTATTACTCTTCTAATGTTATTCTAGAATAATTTTTTTTTGTTCTTTTGATGTTCAAGTGTTTGCTTGCATATTTCATTATGAAGAATTGTACATTTAATTCTCGTCTTCTAATCAAGTTGTTAATAATGTCTGAGAAAATCGTATTGTAAGACAGTATACATGCTAGCAACAACAATGCTTATTGTATTGCATAATTAGTCTAGTGAATATTTTTTTTTATTTGTACACGAGCCAGTATAGATTATTCGAAGTTGATGTTCATTGTTTCTTTTAATTTAAGAAAGAAATACTTTTTACACTTTGATAGAATCAAGTAAAACTTGAAAAAAAAGCAATGCAATCTATTTTTACTTGATTTTGTTCGTATTGTTTCTATTTTCATTGTGGAAACTTTATTATTCTCTTTCAATATTGGATACTGAACGAATTTGTGAATCAATGTCACATTAGGGCTTTTTTTGTATTGTGAAAAAAAAGAAAATTATCGAAGTACAAAAAAAACATTGAGTTCTTTTGATTAACCTTAACATTATTTCTGTGGTCTGTATTTGCTTTGACATGCAAATTTAAACATACCCACTTGAAATCTACTTTATGTATATGATCCTTCGCTTTAAATTAAAAGAAAGACTATTTTTGTTGATTTAACAATACTACTTATGGATACATACAAATCAATATCTTCTTTACATACAATAGACCCTAGCAAAAACCATGGTAGCAAAAAAAAAAAACGTCTACGCCTTCGCTCACTCATATTCTCATCATCTTTTTTCTGTCTCCAGAATAAAACATATCTTCCATTGTTCGTTTAGTAATGTACAGACAAAAATGAAATTGTTTATGTAATGTTGTCACAAGACAAATTACCTTTACTCCATATCATTTTGCATTATCGATCATTGACTGAAAGAAAAAATAGAAAATAAAGGGTGAACGCCATCGAAAAATTTATTCGCTTGTCAAACGATGCTGTTTTTTTCAGTTGAAAAATCTTTGAAAAGTATAAAATAATTTTTATTTAAAAAGAAAATGATATTCTGTTCAATATTTATTTAAAAAAAAGTACTAAAAAAATTCATGAAGTAATAATGATCAAGTGGAATATATTAAAATCGATATGCAATTTCTTTATGATTTTATATTTCATTTAAAGTAATAGTAATAAATTATATCATCTATGAACATAAGAAGAAAAAAATAAAGAGAAATCATAATGAAACGAAAATAACTTTCTTACTATTTTAAAATAAGAAAAATAATTAATTCTAGATTATAGGATTAGGAAGGAAAAGTGGAATGATTTCTTCCTCCTAAATTTTCTCTTGTTTCTAGTCTTTTCTACCAGAAACTTTTTGTTGACCAATGTGTAGTGAATTTTTCGGTATTTTTTATAGAATAAATATAGGAAGACTTTTTCCGTAGGTTTTAGAGAGAATCATCGATTTTCACTGAAAAATCGAAAGTTTTTTTTGTTCGAATATTTAAGGAAAACCAACCTTGTTTAACAAAGAAAATGTTTCACTTCTATTTCCAAAAAGAATTAACTACTTTCTTCTTCGAACAAGAGAAAAGCGTTTCATTTGCAAATGTTTTCTTCTTGAGTTTAGGAGACTTTCCTTTTGACTTGCTCGTCATTCTAAATAAAATCAAACGAAAGTTATAATTACTTCACATATGGTTTATCTTTTTAAATTTTTATGATTCACAAGCAACATTCAAAATTATTTTGAAGGAATGTTCAACTTTGAATGTAGATGAGATTTGCATATCAAATGACTATATACATAGTTTTTCGATTAATCATGATATAAGAACGATTAAGTTGTTAACTTGATCGCACTCATTATCATATTATAGAGCTATTTCTATCAGTCAATTATTTAATCTGAATAGTAAAGTTACCTAGTCATTATAGATCTTTTAATAAAAGATCAATTACAGACAGAGATGTAAACTGCTACATTGATCAGCAGTAGCGGCTGAAAATTTTTTGATGAATTTTTTAAAATTTTCTATTTCGAGAAATTTTCAAATAAAACAGAAAGAAAACAAGGATAGAGAATTTATTGACAAGAAATCAAACGGTAGCATCTTCAAAAACTGATCTGGAGAGTCGAAAATTTTTAAAAACTTCATATCTATTTTGATGTCGTGACGCTAGCAGCGAATTATACTTCTAAATACAGATATTGACATATTATATTACTAATATGTGACTGACAATGAACTATAACAGTATGTTTGAAACAGGCACAAAAGAGATATTCTCATAAATAATATATATTTAGTTTATATTATTAACTAGAATTAGTTTTGATTAACTGATACAATTAATTTTGTACTAATACACATTAACATTATTTCTCTACAAATAGAAATAATCGGATCTTTACGAATACATTGATTTTTATTGACGATCACTATTCGAAGCTGAATAAAATCAGCATATCTGAAATATTTTTTAAGGTGAGTGCATATGTTGAACTTATTTTCTTGATTGCGAATTCCGTATTGAAATTAGTATTAGCATTAATTAATATTAATTCTAACACTTAGACATTAATATAAAAATCAACTTTAATATATTGGTATTTTTTTGATATTACAATTAATTAATGATAAGGTATTAGTATTATTTTTAATTCTAATATATCTCTTACCTCAGACTAAATCTCTCAGAATTCAAACTCAAAAGTTCTCAGTAATAGGACGTTTTTGTTCTGTTACTGATGAGGAAAGTTCTTCAACTATCAAATCATTTTTGAGTCTAAACTATGTTCGTTATGTAGATGCAAATGAGCCATGAAAATTTTGAAAAGAATTCGTGTCCTTAGCTTATTACTGCAAAGATACTGCACTTTTATGGTATTTTTTTAATTATTGCCGTAGTTCAGAAAAGCTGATTTTTGAATAATCGACTTTAAACTTTGCATAGAGATAAGCTTTAACAAGAGTAGTTTATTGTGAAAGTTTCAGATCTTTTGGTTTACTTCTATCCTGAAATAAGAACATCAAATCTGCTAGTTTATATAAGTGATGTAAAAGACATGTTATTACCATAGTTGTACCTTAGGATAGCAACAATGATAAGATGTAAAACATTCATAAAAAAATTATTCTCGTTAAGGTCTGTCTCTATACAAAGTTTCAAGTGGAAATTCGAAGATCAGTTTTTCTGAATCACGGTATTGATTAAAAAACTACCTTGAAAGTGCAGTATCTCCGCAGCAATAAGCTAAACACATGAACTCTTTTCAAGGTTTTCAAAAGCTCATTTGCATCTACATAATGCACATTGTCTAGACTCAAAAGTGATTAGACAGTTGAAGGACTTCCCTTGTAAAAGTCATTTTCTCATAATAGAACAAAAGTATTTTGTTATTAAGGAACTTTTGAATTTGAATTCTTCGAGATTTAGTCTTGGGTAACAGATATGTTCGAACTAAAAATAATGCTAATACCTTATCATTAATTGATTCTAATGCCAAATATTACGAATGTATTTGGATTACTTTTAATACTTATGTTAATATGATATCCATATGCGCGACGTAGTCCATTGCAATCGTAAAGGTAGGAACCTGACGCCCAATTTTTATATTAAAGCAAATAATTTTGTAAACTATTTAATAAAATGTAATACTTTTCAACTATGACTTTCTTTTATCCAATACTCTATGTAGTTTTATTTAGTTCACTTTAAATCATAAAAATTTAACCGATCTTTGTCTGTGACTGTTTTAAAAAAAATTGCTAACGAATGTATGATATACCGCACTGATCACAATTGCTTTTTCATGATAGAATTCACTCATGTTACGAATTTATAAGATTGATAGAAGTTTATTTGTTTTAAATAGATTTTTTCTTTGGTATAAATGATAATTGTCATGAAATTAAGTTTTACAATGAACTATGTTGACAAAATAAATAAAAAAAATTTTGAAATCCAGCAAAATAGATAAAAACTTTGTAATACAAATTGCATTTATTTTAAAATAAACATTATATGTTCTCGCATATCCTTTACAGATACCGAAGATCTATTCAAGATGATGAAATTGTTCGACACACATATGTAACATTTCGTCTGTCAAATCTACTGGCTTGCATAACTCTTGTCATTATTCTACATTTCTCAAACAAACGTTACAGTAAGTTTAAAATATCTAATCGATCATCAATAATGGTATAAATGAAACAACAGCTGCATTTCTGTAGCTACGAAATAATGCACTGATTCACAAATATTCATCGCAATGATCGATGATTGTCCTTCATATGTCGAAATTCTTATGCAAGAAATGTTTGATTCAATAAAAAGAAAAAGAACAAGTAAAAATGTGAGTGTGC